TATATATATAAATACATATACATATATATATATACATATACATATACATACACATTTACATAAAAATATACGTATACATATCCATACATACCTACATACATACCTACATACATATATATATATATATATATATATATAAGCCATCATCTCCTGGTTTATACACCGTCAATGGTCGGCAGTGTAGAAATCGAAAGTATGAATTCTGCTTCACGAACAACTAGGGCACGCTCTGCACGGAATTTCAAAAGCCATCAAAGTGCGGGTACCGAAATAGCGGTGCTGCAGGCGGACCTTTGTTACCGGAAATATATCTCGAGCATATTACGCCGTACAAAACAAGAATGTCTCATTGTGAAGATTCGAGCATTTGCTGTCTCCGTTGCGCGATATTTTGGTGCCACATGCTTGTAAATTCAATGCGCTCCCTATCCGGGCCAAGGTCTATGGCAGCTCGTGAGTATGACAGTTACTACCGATACACTCGAAACATCTTGTGAACGTTTTGAATTGGTCCAGTTGCGGGGCACAGTCGCTCATATGTCCAACAGCTGTATAAATCGCCTGAGAGAGTGAAGCACTGCCTGTTGCGAACGCTATACAGTGGCTCAATTGCAGAGAATCGTTGCCGTTTTGTTTTAGGGTTTACTCTACATGCACAGCTTCAATCATTCCAAGATATCTCATTGGTTCTGCTTGCGGGCTGGTATTGCTTCAAAGGTTTGTGTGTGTACATACAAGCAAGATCCGCGTGATGACAATCCTGTGAGATGGCCATCGTAATATCACGATGATGCAACTGGAATTCCACAACAACTGTCCGCCCAATTGTTAGCCAAGAAATAACCCGTTTTGAAAGTCCACAAGGTGGTCTCCTTTTTGAGGAAGAACGAAAGCTTGTTTTTTCCGCTGTGAGAAGTTGCCGATGTTCTGCGCTGTGGCCTAAAAATGTTCTGCACTGTGGGCTAAAATTGGACTAAAAATGTTCTGCACTGTGGCCTTAAAATGGCCTAAAAATGTTCGGCACTGTGGCCTAAAAGTGTACATGACGACCTGATACAACACTTCATACCTGGAGACATCTGTCACCACCCCGGTAAACTTGCCCTCCTACGTTTCCACTTTCCCATACAAGTCATTCATACTCACTCGACTATATACTAAAACTGTTCACCAGTAGTAGTATCAATGTGCACAATGGAGCAACCATTCGAATACAAATGACCATAGATTCGATCCGTATTCATTTATTTAATTACTGCTTACTACCTTTAAACTTCCATCCGTCTTTTAGTGAATGCATGTATATATATATCTCCCTCCTGCAGTACGAGTTCCTCATCAAACTGCTCCTCCATCAACTTGAAAAACCTTGCCTCCCAATCAAATCTATTTATAGTGACCAGGTAAGCTTTTGTATTAGGCCCGCAAAGCTTTTCATAAGTCTGAACCAGTGGCTCTATATTCTCATGTGCAAAAATAAGATCCGACCCAATAACCACATCCCAGTGGTGGCCCGATTGTGGTCCACTCACTCCTTTCCTCTTACCCACTCGCCCTATTAATGCCTCACTACCCAGTGTGCCCCAGAAGAGCTCCTCAATATCCCAAGCACCCTCACTCGATACTAGTCCACTATCATCACCTCTTTCTTCGACCTTCTCTGTCGTAAATACTTCATTACCCCCTCTCACAGTAAAACGTGTTCTGCTATTGTCCCGGCTCATCTTTTCCAGATTGCCTTCTACGTTATGCCGGATAGTGTCTAGAACTGGCTCCTGATCGGTGAAAGTCACACTTTTGCAGCCCAGCAAGCTCAAGGTGATGCCTACTAATCCAGTGCCTGAGCCAATTTCTAACTGTGGTGCCAAGAATGGACAAGTCGAATAAATCAGTAAAAGGATCGGAGTGTGTACATGACACGTGCAGTGTGTATGTATTCTTGTGGATGTTGGCTTGTGTGTACGCACTATTAGTTTTGATTTGTGGGTTGTGTAAAGTCATGTTACTTCTCAGTGTGTCTTAAATCTGATATTTGTAGTTATCAACCTTGTGGCCTTCATATCTGCATTTTTTAGTAACCATACCTTCAACTTGCTTGGATAAAAAATTGAACAAACCAAGTATATATAGACAACATTTACGAACGAAGTGCAAATAAACCTAATGTCGACGGAGGGATGGGCACTGCCTATGAATATGTATATAATGAAGCAGATAGGTTCCATGTATTGTGCACTCAAGACCATGTTCAGAAATGAATACATGTATGTGTCTAAATAGTACCATTCCGAGCGCATCGGGGTAGCTACGTGCGTGAATAGGGGCGAGAGCACAAGTGATAGTCGCACAGAAGCTTCAAGAAGAATGCATCTCATGACGTGTAGACGACGAGATGTACACTTTCAGACATTCGGTACTCGTCTAACCCCAGGGGGAAGAGTGTAACGTAGCATCACGGACAAAGCTTCGTAGACACAACAACTCATAATATTGTATTCATTGGAACATTATAGCCCAGGGCGTATTGGCTTGCAAAGCTCTAAGATACATATACACGTTGCCTTTAACTATGCTTTACAAGATTTATATATCACAACCTCAAACGCATCACCCAACACGTTCAAGCGCTAATTTCACACAAAATATCTCCCACGATCAAACACGTACTAAACATACCGCCGATATCCTACCCCACTCCTCGTCCCTCTCCGTGAGCCACTTGGACGCAACCCGAGCACACTTAGTAGTTCCGCCTAAAATCTCCACAGATTTTCCACAGATATGAAATTTCTGCTGCAAACTTTGGTCGTGCGAGTCATCGTTGTGTGTAGTGGCTTCGCCGTTTAGACAGCGTTGGCACTCGCATTTCTTGCGCAGGGCATCCACGGACCATCTCTGCGCAGTTGTGGCGGTATCTGTGTGTGCAGATGATTGCGCATGCACGTATGAGCTTTTGTGTGTGCGTACTCTGGATAATAGTACGCGTGGAATTCGAGTGAGCCAATATCTGTTTTTCTAATGACGAGATATCCGAATGTATACCCAGATGTAAAATCGTCCATTCGTACCCTGCACGCGATGTACACAAATCACTCAACATTTAAGTCCAACAGCAAATACTCTGACAACCATACAATTTCCCAGTGAGAATGACAGTGCACTACACAGCGAGTACTCGCGTCTGATCTTAAGCATTACGAATACGTTGTTCGACACGAATGTGGCGTGTCCACTGCTACACAATTATCCTAAAACAAGCAAGCCTGAAATGTATACAATAATAATTTCGCACGTACGTAGGGCTTCTGGCACGTAGACACGGTACTCATTGCGCATGGAATATTTATATGTGATAATCTTTTATACTGACCTGCCATTCTCTTTGGTGTGTGTTGTTGATACACTATGGACAAACCAGCCAGAAAATTCGATAGAAGAAGTGTGTACAAAATTAACACGCGCTGTTTGAGCACTGGTAGGTTGATTTTGACAATTCCAATCGACGGCTTCGATGATTAAACCTGATCTGTTCAGAAGATCCTAAATAGATACGAATCAATCTGGATATATCTTTATTCTTTAGGCTGAGCAGCGACAACATTCACTACGATAACATCACTGTAAAATGTAAATAAAAAATATGTGAATTCGTGTCTATGACATAGCCTTCTAAATAGTAAATGAGACGCATATTTATGTAGGGACACGCATGTTTATCTTTATTGTATAGAAAAGGCTTATCCAGATCTATAAAGTTTTTTGGCGGGCTGAAGGGAAATTAGTTCAGGTCTACACATACACCCATAGCTGTGCACTAATCAGAAATCAACACACTATTTGTTTAACAGATTCACGTGTATTTACCCAACATCTCTATTTAGTAAATATATATTTAGTATTTGTTAAAAAATATAGCTGCATATCATCATACATACACTTCATTTGTATCTATTTATAACCTTCTTGGGTTATGGTCATAGTGGTATATATGACCTTGCTAGTGTACATTTGACGAGTATATCGGTTTTTTCAGAAGCAGTAGCTGAGACGACTGATTCAGATATTTTCACCGTTTTGCTGCGAGTGTGCAGCAGTGTGATCGTCTATCGTTACAGCTTCTAGAATCGAAATAAACTATAAAAACAGACGCTACACACATAGAGATAACCATATATCTGTATAATCAATTTGTGATTCCAATCGACCAGAAAAGGTTCTGACTGCTGAGGCTAAAGCAATGTCGACGATATCGGCCGGTATGTAGAATTAAAATTGATTCATAAACAAATCTATATGTATGTGAACGAGTTAACTTATGACTTGCGTGCTACAACTGCAAATTACTTCTACATGGATATATATATATATATATATATATATATATATATATATATATATATATATATATATATATAGTAGTAGTAATTAATTAATATATATATATATATATATATATATATATATAT